AGTTGGATATTGTTTAATAATGATGTCACTTCTAGATACCATTTACTTTTAATGTTTTGGTTAACCACAAAAGCTTCCTTGAGTAACGCATTATTAGAATTCATGGCCCGACTGTAATATTTAATTATTTGTTTTTTTATAAATACGTCTAGGGGGTATCTGCCTAACTCGCTATACATGGCCATAATTGGTGTGTGTTGTGACACCCCCAGTAGATACCGACAATAACTTAATTGAACGTCTTCAATGTGATTTAGTGGAGAACTCATAGCATAGCACATCGCCGCCACATCATTGCAAAACCATTCCCAAATTATATATTGTAATTGATAGTAAACCAAATTACTAGTACCATGGACCTAGCGACAGGTATATATTAGTTGTCCGAGGTTGAACAATACAACCGTGACAGTCTGGGTTGTTTGTAAATCGATTTTCGTTACTCGAACAACTCAGCATATTTCCTATTTATTTAATTTCCTGATTACACAGTGAGCTAAGATACTGTGTAGTTTTAATATATACTCAGGCTTAAAAAATACATGTCACGTGCTTTATACATATACATATTTCACCATTTACTATCATAACGTAACGACTGAGAAATGTCAGCATGCCAAACACAATTGTCCAGTTGTCAAATCAATAATTAACGCACTGTGTCTGGAAATATTCCTGACCACAGGCACCTTCGTCCTTGAATTGCAACAAGAAATGCAAAAAAATATTTTAAAGAAATAGCAACATTGCATCAAAAAGTTGTTATCGACCTGACAAGTTGAGAAAATGTGTCAATTTCAAGAATAAAAATGGCGGCTCATCGGCCAAAATGTGAGCTCTGAACATCTAGAATGTTTGTTGAAATTTTCGATTAGGGTGAATATTCAATAAATATCGAAGTTTCTATCGCTTATTCATAACCATTAACACCTGTACACAAAGGGAACACCCGCGTAATTTCAAAATCAATACCGAATATACTAGTATTCATTTCCGCAATTAAAAAACGATCACCGTTGGCGTAGTCGATGTTGTAATCATAATCTTGATTGGTATACTTGAGTTGAAATTCTCATTGTACGCCAAAAACAACAACCTATTCTAAAAACAAAACAAATTAAACAAATTAAAAACAAATATGAATAAAAAATAAAGACAATTTGCAACCGGTGATAGAAAGCTGGTCACGCGGCCCTATCACGTAGACCCAAACATAGAATGTGGTTGCCGTGGTAATATCGGGAGAGGCAAAAGCAACGCTCAATGCCCAGAACTAGTTTACTGCAAATATATGTAACTGCCAATATAATATCCGGGAATTTCTTTTATACACTAAAAAAATAAGTTGTCGGTAATACCACACTAAAATGTCAATCTGTTCCTACTCCATTACATTAACGAGTGACTCGTGACATTTTACATAATTGTTGTCAATGCGTGTCACCGCGAGCAAGATATTGAGACATACATTGAGTTCAGTAAGCAATGACAACATGCTTTAAGCGTTGGAAGTTCTTCATTTTCTTTGATGCAGAACATCAATATCTTCAGAAATACTCGTACTATAATTGCAGATACGAAGGGTCTAAACCTTTGTGCCCGTCTTTGAGAAAGCCATAATACTGGCTTGGTTATGCTCCAGAACGAGGATGTAGTGTACGATCTCTCCGCTAGAGGGCGTTTAATGACGCAAGCATTCAGTTGATCGTCCGCCACTAACAAAACAGCTTTCTCGCAGTTCAGTGTAAATCGGTGCGATATAGGATATACATGTGCGGTTCCTTGTATGTGTTACAGACACTTCTGGTCATTTCTGTGGATTTTTCTCACCTCATAAAAGGATTTTAGAACCTTCACTTGCTGTGTAGTTCAACATGCCGTTAATGTCGAGGAAGAAAGACGGCAAGAAGGAAAAAATCGACGACAGGTTCAAACTGAAGGAGGTCCTCGGAACGTAAGTTGACAACTCGTATATTTTAACATAGACAGTCTTCACAGCTACACACAAATACTTCGAATAACAGTTTTGTTTTCTGTTATGGTTTCGTCGGCAATTTGCGGTCGAAGTATATTGACTTGCTTCTAATCGTCATCTGAGTTTGTCTTCGTATTTTGTCATCAATACTGATAAAATGTGCATACGTCGTATCGCGGCTGACTTAGCTACCGTGTAACGTTGAACGTTCGCGTATCAGCTCAGCTTACAGTCGCTTCATCGTGTCCAACAGTTGCTTGTTGCAAGCAGCAGAAAATCGTACGCATCGTTCGCCACGATCACGCCTTCAAATTTGTTGTCTTAATGGTCAGGTAGTGAAACGAAGGACGAACGAGAAAGGCATTCGTATCTACTTGTATTTTATAAGAGTGGCTTGTGCATGATCGAATATCTAGTTCATGAACAAATCTTCCTTTAAAGCCTCTCCCGTGTCTTGCAACACATTCCTTATGCGAAGGGGAATGCACTGTGTGGACAAAACCAGTCCATCATATCTGCACTCTCTGGTTTATTTTTCTATCCATGTACAATGGACTGAACGACTAAAACGTTTTATGTCATCTTGGTGCGTGATCATACTAATATCTTTTTCTGTCACTGTCAAATTAATATAGTGTTATGGATGCAAAAAACGTGTTGCCATGGTAATGGTTCAATAAAACTACAGCTTAGCAACAGATGTTTTTGGAAAAGAAGAAAACAAATCAAAATTTATAATGCTTTGCTATTTTTTTAAACAAATTAATTATAAAACTCAACTTGTGTATACAAATTAAAAAAAGAAACCTAAGTACTACAAAAAAAAATGATTTTAATTTCATCGCTATTCCCGCCTGGTTTACTGAATCTAATTTGTGTGAAACTGATCTGTTATTCTGCGTAACAGCTGTAATGCCTATTCCCAATGTTGTATATGAATAAATGACTTCTCATAGAAACACATGCTGAAATTATTACCACATCAGCTTACCAATTACTAAATGCTATAGCCCTACACCAGCCGTACAACAAATATGATATGAACTTTAAAGTTCATTAAATTCCTTTCCGATTTTCTTTTTTTGAAATAGGGGTGCTTTCTCAGAAGTGGTGCTTGCTGAAGACAAAACAAATGGGAAGCTATGGGCATGTAAATGCATAGGTGAGTTTTGTTATTATTATTATTATTATTATTATTAGATCATGCAAGAAAATGAATGACAGTGTTTTTGTGATTACATTTTACATAGATGTTGAATAAGCTGTAATTTACCCACCTTCTTTTCATTTTGATTCATTGTTTGTGCTTGCAAGGTTTGTTAGTTATCATGTGCAGCCTTTGTGCATTGAAACCAGGAGGGCAGGGCCTATGTTCTCATTATCTGACCATGATACTTGAATAGCAAGGCTGAAAATTAGACCTATTTGACCAATGAAGTGGAATACGGTAAAATTTGCATATGAACCAGTTCTGGAACATGTGATCTTTTAAAGCACTTTGTAAACAGCAGTTACTGTGTTTTGAAATGATATAGCCAAGTGCTAACATGATTCTAAAAATGCCAAGCTCCTCCTAGCTGGGCTCAGATTGTGTAATTAGTATAGCAGGGCATGTGTTGGCAGTCGCTTTTTGACAATAATTGGCTTCTTAGGATGCACCACTTCACTTTGCAGTGTGCACTTGATGGCAATTTGGCATGTCAATAATCGGTGCTGGCTTAATTTTCTGCTATGCAATAGAGTTGATGAATAGATTTAAATGGTCTGACTGACTTCAATTGCACTGTTGTGCACACATACCAATTTGTCACATTGGGGCCAATTGGTTTCCTCACAATGCAGCAGTTCCTGTATAGATGTATAGCATCTTTATATGTTTTATTATCCAAATCCATGATTTATTTTAGTTAGTTAACCGGGTAGTTTGTTTTATGTTCGTGTATTTTTCGTGTTTTATTGGACTAACTGTGTATTTTGTATGTTGCGAATCAAACATTCAAATATACTATCCTTTCCCCTGGAACTGAATTTTAAGACTACATTAATTATTATCAGAACGAACATTGATGTAAAAGTAGATATCTGTGCAAACTCGTTTACTGTCTTTTCTAATTGAGTCTGCTTACTAATCAATACACTGCAACATTCGAACAAGAACTTCTGCTTTATTATTTTAATAAAATTGAAATAAAATTTTCAAAATTAAACAAATGTTGTATTTTTTCAATCATTGTTGGTGCACATAATTAAAATGATGAATAAGAGTTTATTTAACATTCGAAAAACTATCAGTGAGGCTCAGTTTGCTTCCCTGCAGAGAATGCCAAGAATGTTGATAGAACCTGGTATTACTTGTAGGTCAGATCAAATTATGTAATCAACTGTTCAACTCATTGTAATTCGCTCTGCATATTGAAACATATTTAGCCAATGTTTTGTTTTCCCACTATTTTTTTTTCTTTTTTGCAGATAAGAAGTCGTTGGGAAGAAAAGGAGAAGAGACCTTAGAAAATGAAGTTGCTGTGCTTAGAAAGTAAGTGCATATAAATAAAAATTCATGATGCTTTTTTATATTATTACTGTATGTCATCATTTGGGATGGCTTGAATCTTCAAACAGGAAATATCTTGTGAACAATGCAGTAATGTAAACTGTTGAATTGATTTTGACCTTGCACTTAAAGTGCCTGTGAAATGGCTGCTATTTTCACGCCTAAAATTATCCATTGATACATAAATATTATTAATTTTCATGTTTCTAAGCATGAATTATTTTTTTTTAAGTGAAAAAATGTGTTTTAAACTCAATCTACCACAACTTTATTTCGTGTATTTTAAAACGAGACTCTTCATTAGCTTCTCATTTGCATACAGAAATTCCCCTTGTGACGTCAGAAGGGGAAGTCGCATGGCAGCTTGCATTGCC